AAAAAGTAAATAGGTATTTTAATATTTTTATTTTTAAATTATTTCAACCTAATATGAGTCCTTTATTTTATTTTTTTAATATTTTGTTTGTTTATTAAATATTTGTTTAGGACTGACATTTTATTGTATATGTTGAATTTTTTAACTAAAACTAAATTATTTTATTGATTTAATTTTATATTATAATTAAAATTATTAAAGAAAAATTCTTCAAATTATATTATTAGAAAATAAAATGACCAAAACTTTTATATTCCACCTTTTACAATTCTATACAAATTATTGTTTATAATTAATTTATTAATTAAACATTTTTTTATATACTGATTTCTATGATTGTTTTTTTTTTCAACAATAAGAACATGAGCTTGTAATTATCTATATTTTAAACAAATATTCTAAATAAAATTTCTAAAAAAAACATTCCAAATAAAAAAAATACACTAAACAATAAAAAACATTAGTAACAAAAAAAAGTCCAAATCCTAAACTAAATAAAATTGCTAAAAAAAGAAACATTCCAAATAAAAAACACACTAATTAGAAAAATAACAATAGTAACAAAAAAAAATCCAAGTACTTAATATACACTCATCTTTCAGAGTAAATATGTTCATTCTTGAAGATTGCTTGACAGATACTATTATTCAACTTTGTAAAATTGTGGAATGGTAACGTTACAAACCTAGTATTCGAGATATGTAGATTCAACATATGCATCTCTTGCAACTTGATGAATATGTCACAAATATCTCGAGATGTTTTCAAGATTGAATCATCTTTGAGAGATGTTTCAAGGAACTAAGAATAAAAAAGTATTGAAACTTGTGAAAAACATGTAGAAGAAAACCTATTTTTATAGTAATAGAGGATAAAACGTTACAAAAGCTTTTCAAATTCTAAAACTCTTGAAATTCTAGTATGAATTTTAATTAAAGAAAAAATTAATTTTATGTTGTTGGAAAACTTTTTGCATTCTAACCTTTTATATTTCATGCATTTATAGTATTGATAATTAATAATTAATAATTAATTTAATATTTGTAATAATATATTAATGGAATAATTTGTAAATTTGTAAATTTAATAAACGGCAAAAGTGTCCAAAAATGTTTTTCCTACGTCCTACCTTTTTTAATATAGTATAGATGAACTCTTTATTGGAAAAATCAATGTCGCCGTATTGGTTTTGAACTGCACTAATAATAATGTGGAAAACTAAAATTTCCCACTATAAATTCCTTAATTATATATATTAGATGTAGATATTTTTAATTTTTAGTTATTACTATATCAAAGTTTATAATTTACTTGATATTGGTTTTTCAACCGATAGAGATGAAAGTTTGAACCAATAGATTTTTGGTCATATATAAATACATTAATTAATTGAAGTATACTCGGGTGGACTATTAATAAATAATGTTAGATATGACAAAATATAGTTGTAGAGGTGTCCGAAGGCTAACCAGGACAATAACATATTCAACAGATTTTTAACACTCATTAAAGATGAGAACAATTAAAATATAGGACACATAAAAGATATGGTAAAATAAAAGAGGACCTTATATATATGACTTTAGTAAACACCATATATATGATGTGTTATTAGATCAATGGATACGTGTGACACATAAGAATAATAAAAAATACAAATTTGTAACACTTGCCTAGTGATAGTCGCCATTTTTCATTTTCTTTTTTTTTTTTTCTAAATTCAAAATGAGTGTCATGGAGACATATTATAATGTCACATTATGATGTGGCAGAGACATTTGTTCCACACAAACTTATTAAATATATATATATATATATATATGCTCATGAATAATGTATATAATAAGAATAACAAACTTTGTAACATGCCCAATATACAAAATGTCTCCATAAGATTTCAAGATAGTAATAGGTTTTAGATCATGAACTTTTTATATTTGTTTAATAGTTTGATATATATTGTGGTATTAATTTTAGAGTCAATTGTGTATTATCTTATTTTTAAACTCTAAGATCAGACTTATTTATAGTGATTGAATGGTTATCCTTACTTTATATATACATAGGATATAAAAAATTTTATTTGCTTTTTATTTCTTGTTCTAGCATTAAATAAATGCATACTAAATATAACATATATAGTTGAATATTTAATTAATAAATTGAATTGTCATATTAATTCTTTTCAATATTGTTTGATCAGGTTCGAAATCCGTGAAACTCAGATGAGGTGTGTATTGAAATTCGAAATATCTACAAGACAAGGTTAGCACTTCGACGATCAAGTTAGTACACAATCTGATCTATTGCACACACAGAAAGAATAGTCTCACTGTACCTTACATGAGAGGTAGGGATCTCTAGTTATAGAGATTAACTCCGACAGGGCTTCTGATAGTGCTTTAACGGCTCTTCGACACTCCAAAAAATGCAACGTGTTGTTGGAGAATATCATTGTTGCCTTCGTGTCTGTGTGTTCTTCAAGGTTGACATGTAGACAGTTTGTAGATCGCTCAGCTAACATATGTCGAGCTGTCAACACTTGCATCCATCCGAAAAGACGTGGTTGAATTCCCTAAATATTCTATAGTAATTCACCTATCTATAGTAATTCACCTATGATAATGTTGACAGTGGCGTATGAAATTTAAAAAAACGAAAAAGTAGAAATGGTTGTTTTTTTTTTCTAATAAACAATTACCCAACACATGGATACTTTTATTTATTGAAAAAAAGAAGAGAAACAATAACGAATAAACATAAATATCACACCATAGTAGAACCTTCAATTCATGAAACTCATTCATTTCTCAATCCGATCTCACGAGCAACAAAATTCCAAAATCTCCCAACTTTAGACTACACAAACCAACAATTTTCCAACTCGTGAACCAATAACCAAAAGGTTAATCAATCTTTATTTTTGATCTAAAATTAAATATTAATGGAGTATATATATACATAAAGGATGATGGTGACTTAGTAAGCGCGTGGAGTTGGCATATATTTGCAAGAGAGAGGAACTGGAATTGGAATTGGAATTGGAATTGGGTGGAAGGGTTTAATAGAGGAATTAATGAGAATTAGATGGCCAAAAACCAAAGCCATTGGATTGGACCACCTCATCTTCCTCACTCCCTCTTTTTGGGAACCATTCTCTCTCTCCTCTTTTTTTTTCCCCTTTTCCAGTTCTACTTCTACACACCCAAATTCAAAAGCAAAAGAAAAAAAAAGGGAAATTTATGGAACCTATCTCACAGTCTCAGGCATAGAACCACAGGTCGAAGAAGCAGGAGCAGAAGCAGAAGCAGGTCCACTAATCCCCTCTCTCTTTTTCCAGAAACCCATCTGAAAAAGCCTGCCCACAACTCCCACTTGGGAATCACTTCTTGGGATTCGCTCCCCCTTCTCCCTCTCTCTCTCCATCTCTATATCTTACATTATCTACTTTAATTTTCTCATCAAAAACTCTCAACAAAAATAAATTATACATTCTGATTTCATTTGGTTTGATTTCTCGTTTTTGCTCATGTGGGTTGTGGCGGCTCGTTTTAATTCTCCATGATCATTGCTTTCTTCCTCTACTTGCAAAACTGGTTTTAAGTTTCAACTTCTCATCATTTTTCCTTTTTTTATTTTTAATTGTTTGGTACCCAAATAATTGAGGGGAATTATTTATTTATTTATTTTTAATATAGGAAGTCCATTTTGGACGGATTTATCCCACCCTGCATTGACCCATTAAAGCCAGAGAGCGAAAAGAGGAAAAAAAAAAAAACTGTGAGAGAGCTAAAAAAAGAGAGAGAAAGGTTCACAGCAGTACTTCAGATGATGATTATAGCTTCCAGCAGTAGCAGCAGCAGCAGCTCTCAATTCTCATCATGAATAAATATATGAAATCTCAATTCCTTCTTCCATCTCTCTTCCCCCAAAGATTCTTCGCCCACCACCGCCATCTGGGTTAGTCTTTTAACCCATCAAGATCGTTTCTTTTTTCTTTTTAAAGCTTAATCTGCTCTGCTGGTGATTTGGGTCGGATTTCAATTTCTATGGGAGGACAAAAGTCGGAGGACATGGTGGTGGTTTCATCAGCAGGAGGATTTTATTACTCGGAAATGAATTCCAATTCGAATAATAATTCCGGGTTCGGGTTCGGGTTCGAAACGGAGCCCACCGGCGGCGGGGAGTTTCACGATCAGAACATGATGGTGGTTGGGCCATGGGGGCCGACGGCGGCGGCGGCAGACGACAACAGATTCCAGCTTGTTGATGATGCCGAAAATGATTCGTCTGCTTTGAGATGTGTGTTTCCTTGCGAGGGAAATGAGAGGCCAAGCCAAGGCCTTTCTCTCTCTCTCTCTTCCTCTAATCCTTCTTCTATTGGCTTACAATCCTTTGAACTCAGACCACAAAATCAATCTTCCACTGCGGCTATGTTTCAGCTTCGGAATTCAAGATTCTTGGCCCCAGCTCAGAACCTTCTTTGTGAGTTTTGTAGCCTTGGAGAAACAATCACCAATAATAATAACAACAATTCTTCTTCTCCCTCAAAACACAACAACAACAACACATCAATCAAACAGTGGGAATTGGAACATGGGTCTTCTTCTTCCACCAAACTCTCGCTCCACTCCCTCGATTTCGTCGAGTTGCAAAAGCGAAAAAGCAAGCTCTTTTCCATGCTTGAAGAGGTAAACACACAAACCCCACCTCCAAAAAGTG